ACTTTTGATGCTCCTGCCTCAGCCTCCTACGGTGCTTGATTACAGGCCTGTGCCACCAGCCACCAAGGGCAGCTCTTCTCTCTCCTCCCTTTTGCTATGGCTCCATTGCTGTGAGATTATAGGGTCCCGCCTGGCCCCCAGCCCTAACCCCACTACATGTATGTCTGCTGTGAGCAAGAAACATGTTTGCTTTTTAAATTATTATTGTGCTGAAAAAAAAAAATTACACTGGGCCGGGGATTTAGTTCAATGGTGCCTTGCCTGCCTCATCCCCGGTACCAAAAAGACAAAATAAAACAAAACAAAAAAACCCCACAACATATCCTAAAATCTTCCCTTTACCAGTTCTAACTGCACCCCGGCTGCGAGGTGTGATTCCCACCCCTGGCCCTAGCCCGGCCCGGCAGCTGCAGCTGCTCTCGGTGCTGGCCTGGCTCCCTGGGGGCCACAGCCTCAGGACCCAGGTTTTCCTCCCCAGTGCTGGCTCAGGGCTCTCATGGTCTGTCCTCAGGGTGGGCCACGTTGTAGCAGGTGACGGGATTTCCCCTCTTACCGTGAAGAACTCACCCAGGAAGGATGTGCTCCGTGAATGCTCACCCACCCGGTCGTGAGCATGGAACTTCGAGACCCTGGCTCTGCCTCCGACCTTTGGGGGCTGCACCAGGTGGTGGTCACTGACAGCGTGGGCAAGGACCAATTCTGAGTACTGAGCCAGGGCACGCTGAGCTATATCCCCAGTGCTTTTCAATCTTTTATGCTGTTTTTGTTTTGTTTTGTTGATTTTTTTTTTGGTACGAGGTGGGTGTCGAATTCAGGACCTTGCATTTGCAAAGCAGGCAGCTTTGTTTTGCTTTTTGAGACAGGGTCTCACTATGTAGTTCAGGCTGGCCTCGAACTTACTATATAGCTCAAGCTAGCCTGGAGCTTGGAGAAATCCTCCTGCCTCAGCCTCCCAAATGCTAGGATCACCATGCACAGCCCTTTTTGCTTGTTTGCTTTTTGTTTGTTTGTTGGTACCAGGATCGAACTCGGAACCTTTCGCTTGCAAAGGCATTGTAACCACTGAGCTAAATCCCCGGGCCTCTTTTTACTGTGCTAAGACAAAGATCTCGTTAAATTGCACAGGCCAGTCTCAAACTTGCGACCCTCCTGCCTCAGCCTCCTGAGTGGCTGGGATTGTAGGCATGGCCACCAGCTCCAGTCTGACTATTCCTGGGCAGATAAAGGACCACCTGAACGAAGGAGTGGATCCACCGAGAGGCTGTTTCTGGGATGAGTGTGCTGCGGGACCAGAACCCAGAACAGTGTGCCTTCCCAGCCTCAGTCTCCTCCGCACACCCCGTGGCCTCCACCTCAGGGTTGCAGCCCGTCCCGGTGGGACACTAGGCGCTGCCTAAGGGGCGGAAACTTGGGGCACAGGCCGAGGAGGGAGGGGCTGGGTGCATGGAGGAGAAGGAGGGCGGCCTGGAGCCCCCACTCTGCCCTCACCAGGCCCGGGAGGCCCCGCCCCAGCTCCCTCTCCGCCAGCGGCCAGGCCTCTGTTTCCCGCCCGGGGAAGGAGTTCGGTGGTCCAGGTCGTCCAGGGAATCTCGAGGCTTGGGAAGAGGAGCTGTGGGTGTGGGGTCGACCGCGGGGCTCCCACATGAGGGCGGCCGTGCCCGTCCCCTTTCCCACGCCAGTTTCCAGGCGCTTCCCTGGGGCGGGTCTGGCCGCGTGGGTACCTGCTGGGAAGACAGCCCACTTTCTGGGCCCCAGAGGGATTTGATAAGCTCTCCTGGCTCTCATCTGGCCCCGAGGAGGGGTCCAGAGTCATTTGGGGCCCTCCAGACCTCCGGTGTCTGTGCAGCTCTGTCCCTGTCATCGTATCACTCCGGGGGGCCTCCCTGTCATCCTGCTTGGCTGGCCTCAGGGCCTTTGCACCTGCTGTTGCTCCGCCCTGCACACTCTGTGCCCAAATGCTCAGACGCCCGCTCCCTCGGATATTTCTCAGCCAGCCTCCATTCCCGTCATGCTGGTTAAGCACACACAGCGCGCACACGCGCACACATACACACGCACACATACACACGCACGCACACATACACACACACACAAGCGCACGCACGCACACTTCACCACACTCCCCACCCTGCTCTCCGTCCTGGCTTAGCCTTTCTCCACAGTGGCGCGTGTGCCAACAGAGACAACTTAGGCTTTGTCTGCCGTCCCCCACCAGCCACGAGCTTCCTGCAGGCTGGCAGTGAGTCCCCACCCACACGCACAAGCGCCGGGCACACGGGTCCTGTACAGGGCTTTTGGTTTTCTTTCCATCTCGTCTCCAGCTCCCAGAATAAATCAGTACACGATGAAATGGTAAATCCTAGTTGCTCCTACAGACAATGTTACCATGAGCACGGCAAACGGCGTGGCTGTCCTTCAGGGGAGACTGGGGAAACGCGCTCCTGGGGGCTTCGAAGGGCCTTGTCTGCCCCCTCGTGGCCCGCGCCGCCCTCGCAAGCCGCCCCCGCCTGCGGGAGCACGTGTACCGCGCCCCCCTCTCTGCCAGGGCTGTCTCCCTGGCAACCAACCAGGCTGCCCTCCGACAGCCTGCAGGCGTCCTGAGTCCTAGGCAAAGAAAACCGGCATTTATTTCATCTTATAAATCTTAACATCACAGTCCCTGACTGCGGACAAGGGACAGACAAAAAGCAGGTTAAGGAGAAGGCAGATGTCACCCGGTGGCACACGCAGTGAGGACGGACGCACGGACGCAGGCTGGCTGAGAGATGGCAAAGTCGCCCAGGGGCAGCGGCGCAGCCCAGGGCCCTCGAGGCGAGGGCTGGGGACAAAGCTGACGGGGGAGGGCCCTGCAGCGGGTGAGTCTGGCGGCCAGCCCGAGGAGCAGGCCTTGAGCCAGCGGGGAGCGGGAGCCCGCGGGCGGCGCTGCCCCCCGCCCAAGTGCTCATAGCTTCAACTAGGAAGAGAAGGGCCCCAGGCCTAGGTCCAGACGTGCTGCCCCGCACGCTGTGACCACGCGCCTGGTGGGACGTGTGTCCCAGCGCACGTGAGACCCTGACTTTGATTCCAGGGTCTGCAGTGACCTGGGGCTGAAACTCATGCCAGCAGGGGCACTTCCGGGCTGGGGGAGGGGGCGAGGACGTCCCTGAGAAACCCGCGCGCGCCTCCACTGCAGCCTGGGTGGTAGGCGCTGGAGCTGAGCAGCCTGGACCTCACTGGGGGGCTGGTTAAAGCGGGGCGCGCTGTACTCGGAGGCCTGGGGTTCAAATGAGCAAAACAACACAGAAAAAAAACACAAAAAACCAAATCCCCACCGGCCTTGAGGCTTCGGACAACACATCTGTTCTCTCCGGGTCCACGGGGCCACGGGTCAGGGCCCTGTCAGCGCTCTCCTCGGGGCCCGCCAAGAAGCAGCTCCCGAGCAGCGGCTAACCCGGCCTCTCCTGGGCCCTGCAAGGCAGCTCACGTTTTGGCCTTAGGACGCTCGGGCTCACAAATCGTGAGGCTTCCGCCTCAGGGCCACCAGGGGGCGCCTTCGCACGCAGCTTTGTCAGAAAGTGACCACCGCCTTTGGGCTCTGGAGGCCAGCGCCCGTCACGGATTCACAGGGGCTCCGCCAGCTTCCCGCAGAGGGGCTGTTAGCGCCTCGTGCCACGGCGGCACAGAGGACGATACGTGAGTCAGTGAGCACTGAAATTAGAATTTCATGTCCCTAAATTTTATGCATCTTTTGATTTTTTTCAGCCATTTGCAATACAAGCCATCACGAACTCGAGGGCCACACCAGACGGACTGCAGGCTCCAATCGGCCCCCGAGGCATCGTTTGCCAAGCGCTGGTCTAAGTGTCCACTGGGTAAGTGGAAGAAAATCGGACACCGGCCCCATGCTAGATCACAGCTGTGCACACACACGCACGCACAAGTGACAGACACCCTGCTTGCTCATGAAGAATGCAAGAGGCAAACGGGAGTAACCCTGGCCCCTTCCTTATTTTCCGTCCTGAAAGCTAGAGTGAAGCCAAAATGAGCGCTCAAGGACCTTTTGCAAAGTGTGACGCTGACCAGGGCTGCAGAGTGAGGCAGCTTCCGCCTCGGCTTTGCTCAAACGCCCAGAAGGGACTCTCGGCCAGGCACACAGATGGGGGCTTCTGCCAACCCCACTAACCTCTGCCTCTGGTTCCATTAAAGCCTCAGGTTGGCTCTGATGGGAGAAAATGAGCTTGTAGGAGGTGTAAGTAGCCATTCTAACACGCCAGGCTATCCGTTCTTTACATTAAGTGCTATAAAGAACTAACCCACAAACTTGGGAGTCCTGGGTAGCTCATCTCTATCCCACCCCTGCTTCTGTTTCCTTAATCCAGCTCTAGACTGTAAGTGCTATTTTGGTAAAAGAAAAAGTTACTATCGCTTCCCGGCCTTTTGGCTAAGATCAAGTGTAGAAAAAGTTAATACCCAGAATTCACAGGATGGAATAAGTAAAGGGACTTTTCGGGTGGAAGAACACATCCTTCCTAACCGGATCGTCTCATTTATTCATTTGTTGAGGCAGGGCCCCGCTACGTAGCCCTGGCTGGCCTCGAACTCACAGTGATCTTCCTGCCTCTGCCTCCCAGGTGCCAGATTACAGGCCTGTGCTACCATGCCCAGCTTGAATCGTGTGAAATTCATAAAGCTGTCCTTTGTGATTCTTCAGCTATTAGGAATTTGTTCCCTATTTTGCACAAATCAGATACTATAAAGGAGGAAACAACAGTTTCTATGAACATGATATGAGTATCTTCCCTCCAGATTTCCACAGCCCTGTCATCCCCAGGGGCCACTGCATCACGGTCAAGAATGTCACTGGGCCCAACTGACATTTTCAGTCCCCTTACCACCCACAGCTCCCGAGAAAGAAAGAAAGCCAAAGACAAAACCTTCAGTGCTCTCGCTGTGCTATAGCCTCACCTTCATTTTTCCTTCTAGTTAAAAGGTGAGAAGGAGAAAGATCTCACATACGGGGATTCTTTCTTCAGAATAGTTTTATTAGTTTGATATTGTCTGCCAATACTCAACCTTTTCTCTCCTACTTTGGCACACAGATCCATTCATTCAGGATTTTCTCCCCATATTTCATATAGTGTAACAAAAGTCTGTGGGTCTATGGAGAAGTCCGGGGTATGCAGTCTGAGGTTACTGCCGGATGTCATGGCAGCTTTAAGATTCCGTACTTTGGACATCAACTTCATAAGGTCCATCTCAAGGTGGGTTAAGGCAGTAAATGCATAGTCTTGGGAGGCATGTTGATTTTTCTTACGTAGAGAGCGAAATGGATAGCTTCGAAGGCCAAGAGGATTGTGCTCCTGTCAAGAAACATATTCAGGGTGAATAATTCCATTGCCCTTGCTGGTTTTGACAGTCCTGAGAAAGGTAAGTTCATCTAAGTTTCGATCGTGGCTCTATCATTGCTTTTTTTGTTTTGGTACTGGGGATGGAACTCAGGACCTTGCACTTGAGAGGCAGGTGTGGTGCCACTAAATTAAATCTCCGGCCCTAGCTCTAACATTGCTTTTGTCCAGGGATTGCAAACTGGCAAAATCTGTCCACACCTGGTTTTGAAAATAAAGTTTTACTGGCACACAGCCATGCTCACTCATTTGCATACTATCTATGGCTGCTTTCAGGCTGTAAGGGCGGAGCTGAGAGCAGATACCACAGAGGTCACATGGCCCATGATGCTGGCATTGTTTACTCTCTGGCCCGTTAGAGAAGTTTGCCAATTCCTGCTGTCACTCTGGACACAGTGTCATGAAGTGCTAGATCTGACCAGAAGAGAACACAGGGCCACCATATTTCTCTCCCCCTTCCTTCCTACCCAAAAGGGCTGTGAAGTTACCTTGGGGACCAGCAGTTACTACCTTCCACCTTTGTCCCTTTGGTCCAGGCCTTCTATTTCCTTTACTTAAAATACTGATAACATTTCCATGAAGTTCAGGAATTTGTATTAAATCAAACAGTGAAATTTTAAAAATCAGGGCACAGTGACTTTGGCTCTGTGAACAGTTTTGACCTGAAACACACTTTAAGTTCCTGATTCAATCCTCAATTTGAAGAAATTCACACCCTAGGAAAAAACTGAGCCAATAAACAGCTATTTGCTCCAACTTCTGTGGATTTGGAGACTTAGTGATACAATGTCTTCTTCACTAAGGACATGTCAGGAAGCTTATTCGCCACATTTTCCTATGAGGCAGGTACTTTCTCTTTAAATTCGTGACATCTAGGAGTCCTGCCTCTCCTAACTAAAACCCATGTTTCTCTGGGTCTGAGATTTGTTACTGAATTGATGTGGTGCGAAAATGAAGCCATTCCTCCAGGTGTGGTGGTGCATGCCTGAAATCCTAGAACTCTGGCAGGCTGAGGCAGGAGGATCAAAAGTTCCAGCCTGGACAAGTTAGTGACTTTGGTGAGAGCCTGTCTCAAAATAGAGAGAAAGAGAAAGAGAGAGACAGAGAGCGCACGAGAGCCAGCCGTCCTTACCTTAGTCTTATTCTTAGTTTTCTTGCCATGCACCCAAAACTTCAGTATCACATACAGAACAAAAACAAAAAGAAGCCAGAGACATTTGTATCCCAGCCAGCCCTGAGCATGTGCTGAGTAGTTGAGCCAAACCCGAGTGTGCTTCCCACACAGCGTACCACACGGCGCCTTCTCCAGGGGCTTCTTGGCTTTCTCCCAAAGAAAGAACATGAAGGGCTCCCCGCAGCAGAGGAACAGGGAAAACACCAGCAGCTCACTGAGCAACCCCATGCTGAGCAGTCAGTGCACAAAGGGGCAAAGTGGCGCTGCCGCCCGCCTAACCATTCCACAGCTGGTGATGTCACAGAGTGGCCCCTGGCATCCGGGCCATTGTGACGCCTAGAGGGGAGGCCCGTTCCAGTGCGGCTTTGAAGGGGAGGCAGGGAACCTCCTGGCCATGCCCCAAGGCTGCAGCGCTGTCGGTTTTCCCAGTGGACTGACACTGGGGGGCAGGACACTACTGCCCGGGGGCTGAGCGCCCATGGCCACCAAGTGGGAGAGTGAGCCCTCCCCACGGCCCACACTGTCCGCCGTGATGACTCACTGTGAGACCTAACTAACTCCATTTTAAAGTTTGACCCTATCTTAAATATAAGACAGTAAAGTGGCCTTGACATAAATTCCACTTCACTGAAGTCAACCGTTCCCCTAGTCTCCTTTGTGCCCATAAACTAATGATAAAATGTCCTTGCTGTGGGACAACAGATAAAAGAGACACAGCTCCTAACTCAATCCACTGTCTGCCCAGAAAACAGATGCTCCCGGGCCCATTATCTATAGAACATTCTGTCAATGTGCTGATTGTTCCTTTTTCCCATAAACTCTACATGTAGCCACCCCTCAACCCCCCATGCTTGCTAAATATCAACCAATCATGTAACTGCTAAATGGAACATCCCCAAACCTTGCGGTAGCCACAATAAAAACCCTGACTTGAAATTCGGGGCTCTCAATCCTGATCCGTTGCGTCGGTGACAGTTGAGTGCCCCTGCTCGAGCTTGAATAAACGACCCTCGTGTGTTTACATCGGAAACGGCTCCTTGATGGTCTTTGGGGACTTTGCGATCTGGGCACAACATCACGACCTTATGCAGAGACCTCATGTTTGGCTTCCTTACCGGGCTTCCACTGCCCAGCGCCCCCGTCACCCCTTTCTGCCCTGCGCCCCCGTGAACTGACTGGGATAGGAGGGTCTCAGGTTTGAGACTAGCGCAGGCCACTTGGCGACTTAGCGAGAGCCGGCCTCGCAGTAGAGTCTGAACTGGGGCTGAGGACCTCGCTGTGTGGGGGCCCTGGGGTTCAATCCCAGTACTGCTAAACACATCAGTCCAGTGACAGGGACAACACTAGCAAACAGGAGAAGGGCCACTCCCAGTCCGGCCTCGCAGGAAGACTGGAGAGGAAGAGGTGACAGCAGCCGCAGGACCCTGTCAGGGACTGGGCCAGGCCTCCGCAGCGCACCTGCAAATGCCTCTGCAGAAGTGGTCGGTGGGCTCGGGACCCCCGCACGGGTGTCCTGGCGAGCCGCTCCTAGCTGGGGCTCTCGGCCTCCACCTGTGCGGCGCTGAGCCTCAAGAGGACTTGAGAGCCCATGAAACCCAAAGGGGACGCGCACACCTTGCGCGGGCACAGCTGTCCCTGAGCATCCCCTCGGGCCGGGCCGATGGATGGACCGGAACACGCGGCCCGGCCCACCCACGGCCACTGCCTGCAAGGCCCCTCTGGGAAGCCGCTGGCTGCACTGCCCACGGCTGTGGCGGGTCATCCCGTGTCCCATCTGGGGGTTTGTCCCGCCCCCTCCCCTGATCATTGTGGCCCGCGAAGTGATGCCAGACGGCAAACAGACTCAATTCACATCAGTGACCCACGGCAGGGCCGCCTGGGAGTCGCCACAGGAATCCCACTGCGCCGGGCTGCTTCTCCTGCTGGAAGTGTCGAGAGGGGTCAGTGGGCTGTGCCCTGGGAGGGACCCGGGCTTCCGCCCAGCCCCTCCGGCTGCCTAGGGGTCCGGCCGGGGCCGGGGTGGACCCGGCACCCTGTGGGGGACACAGCTGGACAGTGGCCCAGCTGCGCTGGCTGACAGGGTGGCACCTCTGCCAAGTGGGGGAGGCCGGGAGCCTCCACGCACAGCCTTCCTCCAACCCTTCCGGGCGACCCTGGGCCAGGGGCAGAAGGGGCCCTGAGGCTGCGCAGTCGCAGTCGCTATATTCAGAGGCCGGGCGCTCTGAGTGCCTCAAGCTTTGAGGGTGGCGACACTGACTGGGTCGGCGAGAGCTGGATGCAGCCGGGCACGGTGGCACAGGGCTGTGAACGCAGCACTTGGGAGGCTGAGGCAGGAGGATCGCACTGAATTCAAGACCAGCCTGAACTACATAGGGAGCCCCTGTCTTAAAAAACCAAACCAAACCAAACCAAAAAATCCCCAAAAATAATCAGTGTGGGGCCGGGGATTTAGCTCAGTGGTTCTGCTGCCTGCCTCGAAAGCGCAAGGACCGGAGTTCCATCCCCGGTACCAAAAAAAAAAAAAAAAAAAAATCAGTGGAAAATAAAATTGACTCATTAAAGCTAAAATTAAGAAAATAAAAGTTGGTCAAAATGGCCATCAAAATAAAAATGTAATGGCAAAACTAATATTTGACTAAAAGGAGATCAAGTTTTCTTTGCAAAGTGAAAAGAACGGTGGGTTGCTGTAACAATTTTAGCCAAATTAAAAATAAAATTGTTATAAAAATAAGTAAAAGAAAAAACCCTCAAAAATGGTTTCACTGGGCTGTAAGACTGTTGGCCCGGGAGGTAAGCGGCTAATTCTGGTTTACTCTGAAAAGGTCTGTTTCAGAAACTCACTGAGTGTAGCCGAGGAAGAGCCGTGGTCACGCACAGAAGCGCTGAACCCCGAACCGGACAGGTGGGAAGCGGCCCAGCGCTGCCGCCCTCGCCCTCCTGGGGGCCTCTCCCTACACAAAGCCCTCGAGACAGTGCTGAGGCCCGGACGCGCTCGCACTTCACAAGCAGCCCTGTGGAAGTTTCAATGATCAGTGACTTCACACACATTAAAGATACATAAAATGTGCCAATTTCAGCTCAATTCCCCCCTGGACCTTCTGCTGACGGAGAAAAGTGGGATCCCCATGACTTCATGGAATCACTGCTATCACCAGCAATTCAATGCTGCAGTTTTTGAGACAGGGTCTCACTATGTAGCCCAGGCTGGCCTCAAATTCATAGGTTCTCCTGCCTCAGCCTCCTAAGTGCTGGGATTGCAGTTGTGCGCCACCACACCCACAGCAAGTCTGCAATTTTCTTGGCAAAACGTCATGTGAAGGGAGAGAAGAAAAGTGTACACAGATGTGAGAAAAGGCAAAGGAGCTCTATTTTGTATCGTATTAGCTGATCTCCACTCTGTTCTAAGTGAGCAGACAGGACACGCCCACCCCTTAGCAGCGGACATGGCCCAGCCGCCCCCCCCCCCCCGGGCTGTGGTGGGCGAGATGCCTGGTAACGCGTCCCCAGGCTGTCTCCTCGCTGCTGGGCTGACCCGAGGGTAGCAAAGCCATTGCGATTTCAGCCCACATGGGCTGCGCACACCTGGGGAACCCGGAGTCTCGAGTGCTACGAGCAGCAAGCTCAGCCCACCCGGCTATGCAATCGGCCCGCCCCGCCCCACGTTCTCCAGGACCCGGACCCGGACCCAGACCCAGACCCCTAGCTCTCCAGCGAACGACCATGCAGCTGGGTGTGTGTGTGTGTTTATAACACGGGGACGGGGCTGCTCAGAAGCAGTAGGACGTGTGGGTGACCAAGTGTGCAGACTCCTCCTTGGAGCGCTTGGCGGAGCTGTGCGTGAAGAGGGACTTGTAGGTTTCGGATTCCTCGCTGTCCGCGATGGACCTCTTCGGGGGCCCGCCCGGCTTCCCCGCCTTCCCGGAAGAGGCCCCGTTTGCTGCCGGAAAAAGCCAGAAACGTTTCAGGCTGGCCTAAAGATCGTTCCAGATACTGCCTGTGCTCTCCCTGTCCTGCGGTCCTGGGAGCAAAGCTCACGCGAGCCAGGCACTGCTTGGTCCCGGCCCCACCCCGCCAGGTCCCGGGTCCCCGCCCCGAGGGCCCACCTGCGCTCCGGGGGCCCGCGGCACCCCTCTTCTCCTGGGGCTTGGAGCCGGCTTCCCCGGGCTTGCCGCTCTTTGCTTCCGACGGCCCAGGCAAGGCTGCAAAAGTCAAGGTCAGCAAAGCGGAAGGTGCCGCACTGAAGCGCGCACGTTCAGGACGCAGCCGGGCCGCACAAGGCGAGCACCAACCTCTGTTGCACCTCACCTTCACTGCTGTCTGCCTTGGGCTTCCTGAGTTTCTGTGAAGAGAGCGGGCTGGAGGCTGTGCCGCGAAGGCTCGCTCGGCAGGGGGCCCGGCGTCTGTCAGCCCAGCCCTCCTCCCCCTGCCCCCCCCCCGCACGTGGGCTGCACTCGCAGGCGTCTGTGGGACCCGCTTCCTCTGTATCTCCACTCCCAATCACATTCTTCAGGGTGTGAAGCGAGGATGACAGACTTCAGTGAGAAAAGTCAATGTTACTCCCACCCACTATCAGTAAACAGCGGTGAGGTGAAAAATGCACACCACAAGGCAAGCCCAGGTGGTGTGGACGCACCCCAAGTCTTACCCATTCTGGTACCTCCTTTTCCGTTGTCAGACTTTTTTCATACTTGTTTATTTAACTCTAAGGCCTGGAGACTTATACTAAAGAACATCTGAGTTATTCTCCTCAAATCTGGATTACTCTGAGATTTTCAGGCACTAGAATTTTGTTACTCATAATCGTTATTTTGGTAAGTAACAAGTGAATTAGCCATTCTAAAATTACACAGCTGCGTTCGCACTGATTCAAGTGCAGAAATTACCAAGGGGACAATGTTCACTCAAATTACTTTAAAATGTTACTTTCCTAGGTATCCAAACGGTGGCGCTAATGCCACAGAGTGTTTTTATTTCAGAAGGCCCCTACCCCTAGGCAACCTCACAGGACCTTTGTCGGGCAATACTTGCAATGTGACTCAAAGGGCTTGAACAAAACAAAAACTACTTCACCCATGTAATAAGGCCCGCACGCGAATTTGTGAAGGTCAACACTCAAAAAACAGACAACTATTCATCTCTAAGTCTTCCTTTTGCAGCTGCGTTATTTGAAAAGTAAGAGCGGTAAACAGGCAGAGAGGAAGCGGGGCCGTCTCCAGCTGCGGGCGTATTTGGGAAATATTTTGTATCTTGGCAGCAGTAGCTACGAGGCTTCCAGCTGCTTAGGTGCGCACTGTGCAGAAAGGGGCATGCTAGTTCCTCTGGGCTTTGACAACCTGGCAGGAAGCCTGTGACAGAAATGCACTAAAACAGGACGGTGAAAAGAACTACCTGACAATCTCTAGTAGCTTCCTTTAAAATATGATTTCTCCCTTTTGTGTGTTTGTTTCTAAAAACTAATCAATGGCAACAGTGAAGAACAAATAGATCCTTTTGGGAACTGTCCTTTGTCACAGCTCTAGTTTTTCCTCTCGTTTCTGATCTTGAAGTCAGAGTAATTTAGGAAACCAGCTTAGAATTTAAATACTTACATAAATTTGATTTTTAACCTTCAGGCAGCACTAAAGGACTAGATGGCTCTGTAATATTTCTCATTAATGCTGTATTAACTTAAATAGCAGCACGGAATATTTCTATTTGTATTTGGTCTCAACGTTTGGGCACAACTCTGTGCTCCGGAAGTTTATATGCATTATTTTCTACTTAAGTAAACGATAAAAGGAGCTAAAGCTGCTGATCCTGGCTCTTTCTGACGATTCTGAGCCCGGGCCCAGTAGCAATGCTCCATGTGCTCCAGCAGCAGCTTCTAGGTCTCATGACCACAGATTATACATTGATACAGGCCCTATAATTTCTTCTGTGACCAAAGAAACACAAAAAGCAAAAAACAAAGCTCTGAAAAAAATCTCACTGTCTTATCACTCTCTCCTAGAAAACTAGTGGATGCAGACAGATTTTAAGGGCACTTACCCCCAAAAGTTTATGTCCAGGGTGCTACACTGGTTTTTCTAACAGACCCAGCATTATTCTGCTTTAGTTCTGATCACATTAAGTTTTCTCTCAAGTTTACCCTGGGCCTAACTTTTCTATAAATAAAAAAGAATCTTACCACTCACAAAAGACCTGCAATACACAGCTAACATCTGTTCCTATGTAATAAATCATAATCATAAAATGTACTGCTGGACCCAGAACTGATGGCCTTTTTGTTCTTTTGGTGGCACTGAGGCCGAAACCCGGGACCTCACAAACACTAGGTGCCCCGGAATGATCTCTTAACTGACAAACCGCAGGGTGCCAAAGCCAGGACCAGGACACACAGCCCTACGTCGGTCCTATGGCGGACCTATGGCGGCGCACCTGAGGCACCCAAGTTTGGGCGGGGTTTCCTCCTGGGAGCGGAGCTCCTCCCCGGACAGAACCCCCCCCCCCCCCAGAAAGAGTTGCCAGCTCCCTGCCTCTCCAAGAGCATCCTCAGGGCTGCACCCCATGCCCCGGGGAGGGAAAGAAGAGTGGGCTCCCGGCCCCCAGGCCTGCTGGAACGCGGACTGCAGGGGACTCCTGCACACGTCCAAATTTGGGGACACGGGACCCTCGGATGTGCTGGGGTGGTGGTGACTTTCCACTGCCTGGCTTACTAGTCACGAAAACCGAGCACATGCTCTTTTCAAGTAAGTGACAGCGATAGCCATGGTCGCTGCCTTTCCCCAGGGCTCGCTGTGCTCTGTGCTCCTGGGTGTGGCGTCCCCAGGAGCTGCACCGACCACGAGGCTGGGAACCAAGGCTGAGGTGAGGGCGGAAGCTCCGCCTCTGTTACCTTCTCCTGCTTCGCCCTCAGCCGCCGCACCTCCACCCTCGTCGTCGTCCTCAGCGTCTCCACGTCCTCCTTGGTGCCACTGAGCACGATGACGTCATCTTCCTGGAAGGCAGCCCCGTACTGCACCGGGCAAGAGAGAGCCAGAGTCGGTCACCACAAGAGCGGACGCCACCGAGTCCCCCTCACCCCAGCATCGTTCTCAGCTTTTGCCAGGCTCCTACTGCGGTTCTGCCTGCGTCGCAGCTTCGCCAGCTTTCAGGTCAAAGTCGGTTTGGGAGTCCGTGTGCCCAGGTCAGTGCCGGCCTAGCAGCCTGCCTGCGCCACCCTGAGGGCCCTGCTTGCAACGCTGGCCCTGGCTGATTCAGGAAGGGCTCCCAGCGTTTCTTAACGGGGGGGCGGGGGGGGGGAATCTGGGCTTTGTATAATGTGGCTCATGATGAGCAGCTGCTTTCCTTCTTTGGGCCTACAATTTCAGTATATGCTTAGCTGAGGGTAAGTGACCAGCTCCCAGCAAAAGCCCTGGGCACCGATTTGCTGACGGGCATCGCTGGGCAGAAGCCTGTGTGCTGCACTGCGCTTCGGCCGGTGGCTGTTTTTGCTCAGGGCCCCCGAAGGGAAGCAGGGCACAAGGAAGAGCTCAGTGTACTCTGCGAAACTCTACAGCCCCGTGTCTCCTCCCTCACCTTCCTGCCGTGCGCTCTCCTCGCTGCACCACGCAGTGCGCCAGTGCTGAGGAACTGCACCCGTGCTCCCACACTCATTTGCAGACTTCCACCTAAGAAAGTGCTCTTGGGAAGCGCACGAAACCCAGACTGGGAGCTTGGTCTAGACCTCGCCCTGACAGTGCCCACGAGCACAGCTTTGTGAGCGAGGAGCGCTGCCTCAGAGAGGCCACGCAGGACCAGGCCAGGCCTGCTCTGCTGCCTCTGCCCCTCAGCCTGCACCACCTGGCTGAGGTCCGAGTACCCTGCTGTGTCTCCTCACTGCCATGGCTCCAGTGCCAGGCACATGGCGGGGCCTGTGCAGCAGGGCTGGGGCAGGAGGAAGCAGAAACAGTGAGGAGAGGTGGAGGTTCCGCTCCTACACCTGGAAGTGAGTTTTGTGCCCCATCTGTCTGGGACACAAGGAGCATGTGACCCGGCGCCCTGGCCTTGGTTTCCTCAGCTGTACAGAAACTGACACAAGCGCAGCCTCCTCAGCTGGGGCCAACTCTGCTCCCAGCCCTGTGTGGAGACGATCGAGGCACCAGTGGGTACAAGCCAGAGAGGCCACTAAACATCCTCCAGTGCAGAAGCCGGCCCTCACACTGAGGCACGCCCTGGGCAGAGTCCAACACCATCAAGTGAAACAAGCATGCTTTCTGACTAAGGAATGTCATCTAAAGCAGGAAAAAGGTACAAGCCACAAAGCGAACATGTTTTACAATGTAAAATGACAAACTTCTACATGATGAAGTCACAATACACAAAAACATAAGCCAGAGACTAAGAGAAAACATCTGTAGCATATATAACAATCGATGAATTACACTCCACTCCACAGACCATCCCGGCAAAACTTCAACTACACAGAAAGGCTGTGAACAGCCAGTCCTCAGGCTGGGACACACACAGCTCTAGGTGGCTCGGCCTCTGAATCTACCAGCTGCAGTTCCAGCTCAGTGTTCCTGCGTCTCATTAGAAGACGTGCAAACACAGCAGAGTGGGGTCACCAGGGCTGGGGAGGGCACAGGGTATAGCCGAGATCTGGGGTGCAGTGTGGGGGGGACTGGCTGATGAGCTCAGACTGCACACACTCTCACCATACGCAACTCAGTACGCAAAAGAGAAGTGCGATTTTGCTGGCCTGTGGTCATCATCTCACTATGGATATGTGTATCAAAACACTGCCTTGCACACTTTACACACAAATAACACGAAAAGCCAGCTTATTGTGAAAGCATTGGCTTCCCAGTAAGAAAGGAAGCGGCACAGTCTGGAGAGTCTCTTTCTCCCTGTACACTAGGGGCTGGAAAACAATGGCCAAGGTGACAAGGCCAGCTGCAAGATCACCGTCTGCTATACTAAGTGTAAAAGGCCGGGATAGCGGTGCGCAGAATCAGGTTAAGGTTTTATTCCATTTATTCCACTCTTCAGGAGCTAGGCATCGTGCTAAGTATGACTTGGGCTCCGTTCTCCATGAGTTGGGTGAAGAGTTCCAAAATAAAAGTGACTGCTTTGTCTATAAATGTCTCCTGTCCTCCCTCGCCTGTCTTACTCTGGTTTTCAAATCTGCGGAACATTCTGGGTCTTTATTTAATGTCTCCTGCTCTTCACAATCTTTTCTAGGGGTCTGGGAGCAGAAATCTCATTGTGTCTCTTGGGTCACAATACACAGCTCAGGATACAGACTCTAGAGGAAGCTTCTAAAAAGAAAGCCCGGGTTTCTATCCAGCGTGCCCGGGACTGGAAACTGAACCCAGCCTCACCCCAGCCTCTGCAGCGGCCGCTCTCCCCTCCCACTTCCTCAGTTGGAGGCAGTCCCCAAGCACTTCCCAACCCTTAGGTTTCTCTTCTGAACATTTCTGGTAAGCAAATCACACAATGTACAGGCTTAGAGTGTGTGTGCAACTGGCTCTGTTCATTTATGAGAAGTCTTCAGGACTCACCATGCTGTGGCGCGCTTCAGAACCATATTATTCTTTGTTCCCTTTAATAACGTACCACCCACTTTACTCATCCATCAGACAACCGAGGTGTTTGCACTTTTTCAGCATCATGAATAATGCACTAAGAATATGTGTGCAAGGATTTGTGAAAGCATTTGCTTTCATTTCTCTCGAGTAGATCCCAGGAGGGAAGTCACTGGGTCATATGCTGACTGACAGGAAACGCCTTTCCTCAAAACACACTTTTCCAAAGCAGTTTCTGTTTCCACCAGTAACACTCGGGGATTCTGATGGCTGGCACTGTCGTTGACACTTGTTACTGTCTTTGTAACACTACAATGGTTGTGAAGTGGGCTCTCAATCTGCACCTCCCTGCTGACCAAAGATGCTCATCACCTTTCACATGCTTACTGGCCATCTGTATATCTTCTTTGGAGAAACGTCTATTTAAATCCTTTGCTAATTTCTTGTGTTGCTTCTTTAATGTTGAGAGTTCTTTACACATTCGGGATATGAGCTTTTAGCTCACTGCTATAACAAATACCTTACATTGGACAATTTCTAAACACCGGAAATTTATTGCTTGTGGTTTTGGAGGCTGGAGAGCCCAAGACCAAGGTGCCAGTGGATCTGGAGCCTGAGGCCCATCCCTCACGCCTGGAGCCTTCTATGTGCCCTCATGTGGCAGTGCCAGAGAGGAAGGCCCCTCACAGCCTTTACACAGACCCTAAGGGCCCGCCCCCATGGCCGAGTCACTTCCAGAGGCCGTAGTGCTACTGTGCTGGAGGTCAGTGTTCAGCCTGCAGACTTGGGAGGCCACCAGCACCCAGACCACAGTAAGTTCCAGATCAGCTCTGTGTTACAAGGCCCTCTTTCTGGGGCTGTCCTTTCACATCCGGGATGACATCTTGTGAAGCAAAAGGCTTTAATGCTCATGAAATCCAATGGCCCAATTCTCTTCTACCACTATGCTACTGGTGCCACATTTTATAAACCACTTGTTAACTCAAGATCATGGAGATCTTGGCTCTTAAGCGGTTTATAGTTTTAGCTCATGTATTTGGGGCTGTGATCCTCTACGTTCATTTCTGTGTTATGACGTAAGGTAGTAAGGTAGAGGTCCAAATTCATTCTTTCGTGTGTGGATGAGCAATGTTTCTTCAAAAAGACTATCCCTTCTCTCACTGAGTTGCCCGCTTGGTAGAAAATCAACTGACCATCAACTTGAAGGCGTATTTCTGGGCTCTCAATTTTATTCTGTTGCTCAATATGCCTATCCTCGTGCCACTACCACGTATCTTGATTTTTAAAAGTTACTACTGAGGGGAGCAGCCAAAAGAATTTTTTGCTGGTATGTGTAAAAATCATCTTAATTAAATATTACAATCATAGACATCTGAAAGTATGCTAAAAGCAAAGTCTGTTATTAGCCAGGTGCTGTGGCACCAGCTACTTGGGAGGCTGAGGCAGAAAGGTCACAAGCTTGAGGCCAGCCTCACCACTCAAGGCTGGGGATCCAGCTCAGTGCTGGGGACCTGGGGCTCAACCTGCAGTACCACCGGAGGAGGGGGCATTACTGATCAGAACACGAGTTACTGCATCGCAGACTGTCACTGAAGAGCATAAGGGCAGGCATTCCAATCATCAGAAGAAAATGCCTCACATAAGCGGACAGGAACTCTAACAGGCCTCCTGTGCAGGCAAACAGTGGGGACAGACCCAGCCCGGAGGCCCCTCTGAGACCGGCCCCAGCACAGAAAGAGACTCGGAGCAGCCCTTTTCCCAGGCTGCCGAAGCTCCTTAGCACTTCCAGCACAAGGCATAATACACTCTGCTGGGCCTCTTTCGCTCCTGCTTTGGCTGGATTATTCACTGTGGTTCTTCTCTGAAAAAGCACACATTCAGGCCAAGAGCAGCACCTGTTTTAGGGCTGGGCTGGTAAGTTTGTATGACCGAAAAAGTCGCCGAGGCTGGTATAGGAGAAGTGACTTGAAGCACCCGCTGGGCCGGGACACCTGGCGAGGACTGACTCCCAGGAGCCGCCAGGGAGGTCTGCGTAAAGACGCCCTCACTCCTGCCCCCTGGGGGGAGGGGCTTTTCCTTGGAGACCTGATGAAGAGTCACCTGCAGGAACTGCTCCGCTGGCAGGGATGGCCCCACCTGCGCTGTGGCTCTGGTGTAAATAACCCTCCTGAGGGCAGAGCTGCATGGGGAGGCTGCGCCTGCTTGGTGAGCGCACCTCCTTCCCTCCTCCGGGATTCCTGCTTGTTTCTTGCCAGAGTCCCTTCTGCCCTCTTTTCTAGTGTCGGGGCCGCAGGCTCTTTCCTCTGGACACTGCTGTTTAGAGGCCACACAGACCCTCGTCTGCACACACCTGTGGTGTCCTGGCCAGGGCCGACGTACCTTTAGAGCTGAACTGTCGACATGCGAGAGTCAGGATCTCACATACTAAAGAGTGAGCTGCCTTGCTCCTTCTCCAGAGACAAAATACCCCGCAACACACAGGGGCCTCAGGCCTGGACCAGAGCAGAGAAGTTCCCTGGAGACTGGGCCTGGCCCTCTCCCCTCCCAGGGCCTGTCACCTGCACCGACTCATGCCTGACCAGGGAGCATGGTGCAGGGCTCATCCCTAAAGGGAGAGTGAGGAAGGGTAGGAAGCTGCTTCCAGCTTCGGAGCCTGCCCCAGGCAGAGGCCACTGAGGAGGGGGCCAGGCGGTTGCCCAGGCGAGGCTCGTGCCAGGAACTGCACTCTCTGCGACCCACCACATCCTGCCAGAGCCTGTTCTACGGGGACAGTTATTACCCAGCACAAGTGTGTGTTCATTTTAAAATCTGCTTCCTCTCATCACTTGCAACTTGGATGCCAAGAAATGGAGAAAAGTTAAATAAATCATAACATTCCTAAAAAGGAAGAGCACGCAGCTATTTTAGTTTCTGACTACATAAAAATGGTTATCATACATTAAAAGAAAAAGTACACTTACAATTCTGTATTCACATGACCTCTAGATGCTAAATTTTTAAAAACTACTTTTAAAAAAGCCAGTAGGGAAGCACCAAGAGAGACAATGAATTCTAACTGCATATTTGTATCACTTAAGTCTTGGGATAGTGGTTTCCCAGTATGTGTCCTTACAAAGAGGACCTGCAAGGAACAGCTGATGGCATGCACAGCTGCCCCAGAAACTTACTTCAGGACTGGTTATTCTGCCTCAGAGCCCTGCTTGTGCTCTGCACAGGACTCTGCAGTGCACAGTACAGGAGCCCAGAGCTGCACATGTGTACGACCTGCATGGCCCTGTTTTCTCCACTGGACCTGAAGCTCTGGGTGGCAACTGCTCTGTCTTTGTCCATCATGGTGGGGGCTGGGGTCTGCCCACAACACACTCAGAAAATGACTGAATTGAGGGGGTGAATGAGAACAGAGTTTCCAGAGATATTTTTACCCAGGAACCTCAACTCATGGAATCCAAATAGCTCCACAGCAGCATAAGACATGCCAGCTTTCACTACCAAAACCTGCCTTAGGGGAGGAGACTCGATTCGATCAGACCTGCTCAGTTAGACCATAGCTATCAGTCCTGCACAGGTGAAGACGTGGGCTACGCTGACTGGCACAGTGTCGGGTCTAGATGCACACGAGATGACGAAACTGTGGTGTTGATTTTCTCTGGTCAATGCCGGGATCAAATCCAGGGCCCCGTACAGTGACAGGTGCACTGAACACACCCCCTGGTCCCTAACGTGTCATTTATGTTCCTTAGCTTCACAGCTGTTTCTGAGACAAGGCCTCACTATGTGCTTCATTTTTCTTAACAGACG